AAGCTGTTAAGCGCAGGCCTTTCTAAATGTACCTGCCTTATTAGCTGCTTAAAGCTTAGTAATTTCCTATTACGCTAACACTAGCTTATGTACAATTATTGCTGCCCTTTATAAGGCTTTTTTTTCTAGAGGCATTACCCCTCTAGAACCCTCTCTATACATAGAGCTACTTGCAACACAACTAATATCTACTAGAGATTGTTGCCTGCTGCTGTAATCTACTGTAGTTTGCTTTAATTTGCTATAGTTTGCCGCAATTTGCTGTAGTTTGCTATAATTTGCTGCAATTTACTTTATGCATTTCCTAACACTGCTAGGTAATCTCTTACTAACACCTCTAGACATTAGCCTATTATATTTAAATAGTAGTTAAAGAAGCTAAACTAGCAGTTGTGCAAGTAAAACAGCTTGTTAAGGTATTACATGTACTACATTAATCTTTGCAGCGATAGAGAGGCAGAGGCAGAGGTAGAAGCAGCGCTAGAGCTCCCTAGTACTCTAAGAAATTCCTGCAGAGGCAATAAACTACACAAACTGCAGCTCTATAACTAGGGCTTTAATACTAAAACAATTAAATTAAAGATATTAGGTAGCAGTATTAGGCGTAGCGTGGCAGTATTAGGTAGTAAAAGGAACAGGTGCAACGCTAGAAAACGCAAGGTGTAAAGAAGAGGAAGACTATTATAAGAGTAGAAACGCGTTAAAAGCTAGAGCTAGAATGTGTTCTTTTAATTACAGCTAATAATTAACTAATTTCTAGATAACTAATCTTAAATTTATATAAACCTTTAGTTTTTAAAAAAAAGATTTTACTAACTTAATTAAAGCTAAAAATTAGCTAGCTATTATTTACTTTTAAGTATTACTTTACTTATAAGCTTACTTTATAATAAGTAATTTAGTTATATAAGGTTTTTAGCTTAGCGCTTATATACTTTTTTAAAAATATAAAATAACTTATATTAAATAGCTATAAAAAGTGTAATAAGTAAAAAAGTATATAAATAGTAATAATTTTACTATCTTTATAGTATTACTAAAAATAAAGTAAGTTATTAGTAACACTTACTATACTTAATATATTTAAGTTTATAAAATATAAAGTTAAGTAAAATCTTTTTTTTAAACACACTAGTTAGTTATAATCTTTTTAAATAAACTTTAGTAACACTATTATTTATTACTTTATATATTTCTTATATTCTTTTTTAAAATAATGTATACTTAATATACCTACATTTTTATATTAATTTACATGTAGTTTACTCTAGTATATGTTATATAAAACATATTTAAATTATAGTTAGTTATGTTTATTCTACTTTTTTTTTAGCTATATTAGTGTGTTAGAGATTAGCATTAGCTATATTAGTGTGTTAAGGATTAGCATTAGCTATATTAGTGTGTTAGAGATTAGTATTAGCTACGCTTAGTTACAGGCTGTAATTAGTTACATGCTATAGTTAAATATTATTATTATATGTCTATTACCTGTCTAATACTAATTTGCTAAGCATTATGCTATAACTATTCTTTAACCTAAATAACCTACCTTAATGTACTAACTATTTCTCTAAGCAAGCTTTGCTTTTACAGATTATTTATAAACTGTTGTAGTATTTTAAGGCTTTTTTTCTAGAGGCATTACTCCTCTAGAACTCTCTCTATACGTAGAGCTACTTGCAACACAACTAATATCTACTAGGGATTACTGCCTACTGCTGTAATCTACTGTAGTTTACTATAATTTACTATAGTTTGCCGCAATTTGCTGTAGTTTACTACAATTTGCTACAATTTACTATAATTTGCTATAGTTTACTGTAATTTGCTATAATTTACTTTATGCATTTCTTAACACTGCTAGGTAATCTCTTACTAACACCTCTAAGCATTAGCCTATTATATTTAAATAGTAGTTAAAGAAGCTAAACTAGTAGTTTTATAAGTAAAATAGCTTGTTAAAGTATTACATGTACTACATTAATCTTTACAGCAATAGAGAGGCAAAGATAGAGGTAGAGGCAGCGCTAAAGCTCCCTAGCACTTTAAGAAATTCCTATAGAAGTAATAAACTATATAAGCTACAGCTCTATAACTAGGGCTTTAATACTAAAATAATTAAATTAAAGATATTAAGTAGCAGTATTAAGTGTAGTGTAGTAGTATTAGGCAGTAAAAGAAACAGGTGCAACACTAAAAAACGTAAGGTGTAAAAAAAAAAAGACTATTATAAAATTAAAAACATGTTAAAAGCTAAGGCTAGAACATGTTTTTTTTAATTATAGCTAATAATTAACTAATTTCTAAATAACTATTAAATAAGCTTTATGCTAGCTAGCATTTATAATTAGCAAGTACGTGTAAGGCAAAGAGAGTTGCATAGTGTATACATTACGCAGGAGGGGTAGCAGGTAACTAGTGTTAATTGTTCTTCTTTTTCTAAGTTTATGCAAAGAAAAGGAATATTTATATATTTATATGTGCAACTATAACATTAGCCTATAACACATAACACCTAACAGCATATCTAAATACTTTTATTTAGACAATAACTAATCTTAAATTTATATAAACCTTTAGTTTTTAAAAAAGAAATTTTACTAACTTAATTAAAGCTAAAAATTAGCTAGCTATTATTTACTTTTAAGTATTACTTTACTTATAAGTATACTTTATAATAAGTAATTTAGTTATGTATAAAGTTTTTAGCTTAGCGCCTATATACTTTTTTGAAAAGTAAAATAACCTATATTAAATAGCTATAAAAAGTATAATAAGTAAAAAAGTATATAAATAGTAATAATTTTACTATCTTTATAGTATTATAAAAAATAAAGTAAGTTATTAGTAAAGCTTACTATACTTAATATATTTAAGTTTATAAACTATAAAGTTAAGTAAAATCTTTTTTAAAACATACTAACTAGTTAGTTATAATTTTTTTATTAGTTTATATATTTTTTATATATATATTTTTTTACAAAAAAGTATACTTAATATAAGTACACTTTAATATTAATTTATATGTAGTTTACTTTAGTATATGTTATATAAAACATATTTAAATTATAGTTAGCTATATTTTGTTACAATCCTTACTCTGGTGAAATAGTATTTTTAGGAGTACTTTAGCCTGTGGTTTTTTAGCGAGGGGGGTAGGACTTAGCTTGATTGAGTGTACAGTTCGTCGAGCAGAGTATGGGTTTTAGCGGAGTAGAGAAGGCAGGTTGTGGTTTGACCTAGCAGCTGTATGGGGAGCTGGTAAACCTGATCTGTGGGGATAGGAATGGAGGTATATATAGTGCAAGATATACAAGTTAGCAGTGTCCTCTTTGTAAAGGTTTTAATGCTTCTTGTTTATTAAATAGTTAAGGGTAGATAATAAACTAAACAGTAATCACAACCTTCTAACTATGGTTGTGATTAAGACTATATACATGGGTTTTGCATGCGTTTGCATGCGTTGCAGGTGTTGCATGCACCACCTGCAACGGCCTGCAACACCTGCACTGCCTGCAATGCCTAAGTCCTCATTAGATGATGCACTCCGCCAGGCTTTTGTCTAAAAGCTGGAGCCATTCCTCATCCGTCCTGTCACGTGATCCGCTCAGCGCGGGGCTAAGCGTTTTCCATCCGACGTCGTTCGGGCTGTGTGGGACAGCCAGTTGGGTCATTACGGTCTAACTGTTGGCTGTAACATATTTATTCTATATTTTTTAGCTATATTAGTGTGTTAGAGATTAGTATTAGCTATGCTTAGTTATAGGCTATAATTATTTACATGCTATAGTTAAATATTATTATTATATGTCTATTACCTGTCTAATACTAATTTGCTAAGCATTATGCTACAACTATGTAACAGCGCAGGCAAGACAATAGGTCTAAATGCAGTAAGAATCTACTTAAAGGAATATAGAAGTGTGTGGGGACTTAGAACCTAGGAATGCTATTAACACCTATAGGCCTTATATAGAGGATATTAGAAAACTACTAAGCTAGCTAAGAGAAGAGGTGCAACTAAATACTTAAAAAAATAAAAGTAACTATAAAAAACAGAGTTAAGTTATAGTTAAAGCTAATATAAAAACTTATTAAATAAGTTTTAAGCAACTTAAGATATAATAATTTATAAAAATTATTATAAACTATTCTTAAACCTAAATAACCTACTATAAAGATAAAATAGTAGATAGCACAGATAGCACTAAAAGTAAGCTTTTAAAGAAAGATAGAAGTGTATTATAAGAAAAATAAATTGCTGCTAAGCCTTACTTGTTAGGATTTATGCTTATATACAAAGCACAGGTTATGTAACCTCTAAACAGGCTAGAGGAGGCCATCCTATCCCGCTCTAGGACATCCCGCCTTACACCTACCTTAATGTGCTAACTATTGCTCTAAGCAAGCTTTTGCTTTTACAGATTATTTATAAACTGTTGTAGTATTTTAGTTAGTGTTAAAAGATAAGATAGCACAGGACTAAGATCTAGCCTATTTATAGCACTCTACAAGAGCACCTAATTAGGATTATCTAAGTAGTTGCGCCTATTTTTTTAACATGTAGTGTATTTATATAAAGTAATATCTAAATTAAACTACTTTTAGTTATATACTATACATTATTTTAGTTTTATTTTTTTTAAGCTTTAAGTAAAATTTTACTATTAGACTTTTATTTTTATTTAATAGTGCTAGATTTTTAAAAGATTTATCTATAGTAAATTACATAATATAAAGTGTTTCTAGCATGCTGTATGCTCTTTGTTTTACTTTTAAAGTATTACTTAGAGTTTATAACTGCTAGGGCTTATTATATATAAATAGTAGTAGTAATAGAGTGCGCAACTTTACATTAAGGCCTATTATAACTTATTATAGGTTAAAAGAAACTAATCTAGTGCCTTAAAACTCTTTTTAAATATTACTAGAAGTAATTATAGCATTATAGGCTGCTTTAAAGCATAGTAGGAACTTTATTTTTATAATATAGGTAATCTAGTTGCGTATAAGGTTTTTAGCTTAGCGCTTATACACCTTTTTTAAAGAAGTAAAACAACCTATATTAAGTAGCTATAAAAGGTGTAATAAGTAAAAAGGCATGTAGATAGTAATAATTTTATTATCTTTATAGTATTACTAGAAATAAAGTAAGTTATAGCTTTTATAGCTATTAATAACTAGCAGACAGTAGCTACTAACAGTACACCTTTTTATATGCGCGTTAAAGTGCTTTAACTAGTCTAAACTAAGCTAATTAGTAGTCTAGCTGCGCTTAAAGATTATAATAACTTAATTTTAGAGTAAATTTTTCTTTTTATACTAGTTTAAAAGGTAGTTGCTACCCTAGAAAATAATAAAAAGCAAAATAGCCTACTTTTTAGCATTAATGCTCTAGATAGCTGTTGTCTACTTCTAGTTACCTAGCTAGACTGCTTTTAGCTGTCCTTGTCTCTCTAAACCTATAATAACTGCTCTAGTAGATATCTAGCCTATTATAAACTCTATTTTATTAAAGTTGTATGTGTTATTATTCTAGATGCTATACTTAGCTTTAATATTCTTTATAAAGTTAAACTAGCCTTAAATTACTATAGAATCTTTATAAAAAGCTTTTTTATAGTTATACTTACACTTAAACTTTACTTTAAGCTCTAAGTAACGCTTAATAAATGTATTAAGCTAGTTTATGCTAACATAGCCTATATTACGCTTAGCGTGTAAAGAATTAGCTATATTAGCTACAGCTACTAGCTAGGGGGGAAATCCTTACACATCTAGCTTAAGTATGTGCTAAATAATTACTTACTTTTTATTATTATCTAGCTTTTATAAGTTAGCTGTATAATTAGCTTAAAAAAGTTGTCTAGCGCGTTAGTTACTTATTATTTTTTAAAAGACCCTATAGATAGCTGCAGCGCGTTAGTTAGAAAGTGTTGCGTCTTATTTAAAAGCTTAAAGCATAAGCTACATTTAATGTTTCTTTAATGTGTTTAAGTAGTGTGGTAGGGTCTTAGCAAAAGTAAGCAACTTAGGTGTGTAAGCAACTCGCCTATGAAGTATGTTAAGTAGGTAATATTTTCTTTTTATATTAGCTAAGAGATCTAGAGTAGTAAGAGTTACTAGGCGTTTTCTAGCAGGCTAGAGTTTAGCAGTATAAGAAGCATAACACATCTTTTATTAAAAGAACTACTAATTAGTTGTAGAATTAAGTAGATAGTAATAGTTAGCATATTAAAGTAAGTTATTTAGGTTAAAGAATAGTTGCAGCATAATACTTAGTAAAGTAGTATTAGTGTTACAATCCTTGCTTCGTGGAAGCACGCGGGTCGGTGATATCCCTAGGTAGGGCGGAATAGAAGGAGCCGACGGTAGGGTGTACAGTTCTACGTAATGGCTAATAGGCTAATAGAGTTTAGTAGAGTGACTAGATTATAGCTTGTCCCTGTAATAGCAGTATAGAGGCTAGGTTAAACAGTTCTGTTAGACAGAATTAGAGGTATATATGTTGTAATAATATACAAATAGTATTACAGCTTATTAGAAAGCTAGAATGCTACTTAGTCTATATAAAAAGTAAACTAAACATTAAACACACCTTTTAAAGGTTTATTTAAGCTAAAACTATATACATGTTTAGTAGTGCTAAGAACAAGTTGCTTAAGTTTAGATAAGTTTACCTTAGGCAACTTATTTAACTTACTTAGGCTTGTCCTGTCCTCCTAGCTTAGCCTCCTATTAGGCAATGCACTCTTCTGTGATTATAGGCAGCTGCGCTGCCTCTGTGTCTTCTAATTAGTTTGTAAACAAGTCCTGTCCTAACATAGCTAGGTTGTGGAACACCGCAGTTGGGGTTACGTCGGTCTAACCATAAACCGTAACAATTAGACAGGTAATAGACACATAACAACAACATTTAACTATAGTAGAATAAACACGTGCAGCATGCAACCTACTATAGCCTGCAACTAAGCGTAGCTAATGCAAATCTCTAACACACTAATATAGCTAGAGAGGTAGAATAGACGTAACTAACTATAATTTAAACATGTTTTACACAACACATGCTAGAGCAAACTACATGTAAATTAATATAAAAGTGCACTTATATTAAGTATACATTTTTTTTAAAAAAAATGTAAGAAATACATAAAGTAACGTACCTAACAGGTTGGCCGGCCACACAGGTTGGCCGGCTACTTTTGCTAAGCCCCCACTAAAACTACCCTATTCTCTCGCAAAACAGCCTACTTTAGCCCTATATAAAGTAATATAACATAAGATATTATTTAAAGTCTACTTCTACTACTTACTTATATGTACGCAAGTTATGCCTAGTCTAATTGCACTGCCTGCATTACTTTTAACTTAGCTTACCTTTTTTTAGCACGCACCTGCGTCTTTAGCTTCTTTCTATTACTACACGCTTTAAACTCCTTTAAAGCAGTTAGATAAGCTCTATTCTTAACTATTAAGGTCTTTTTTGCCTAAATCTGCTTTTTTTATGTAATCTATGTTACATAGCAGCTTTATTTACTGCTTAAAGCTCTGTAATCTTATAGCTTACTTTATTATGTTAATGCTCTAGATAACTATTGTCTACTTTTTATTACCTTACTATATTGCCTTTAGCTGTTCTTATCTCTTTAAAGCTATAACAACTGCTTTAGTTAATATCTAGCCTATTATAAAGCTTAACTTATTAAAGTTATACTTGTTTTTATCTTAGATACTGTACTTAGCTTTTATGTTAGCTACTAGGCAAAACTAGCTTTAGATAACCTCTAGATTTTTATAAAGCGCTCTCTTATAATTATACTTATAATTAAACTTTATTATAAACTTAGAGCAGTGCTTAACCTACATACTAGGCTAGTTTAAGCTAACCTAGCCTAGATTGCGCTCTGTAGGCAAGGAATTACCTATATTAGCTACAGCTGTAAGCCTAGGGAGAAATCTGCATGTAATAAGCTTAAGTATGTACTTAACAACTACCTTCTTTTTAAGCTTAGTTAGATTCCTTAATTTAGGCTAGCATTTTGCTTATAAAGGCTGTCTAGCGCGTTAATTACTTAGTGTTATGTAAAAAACATTATAAATAGCTGTAGCACGTTATAAGAAGAGTTTTAAGTCTTATTTAAAAGCCTAAAGAGCAAACTGTATCTAACGTTCTTTAGAAAATTTAATCTAGTGTTGTTGTTAAGGCATTATGTAGATAGGTAGAGTTTAGTAGGGGCTTGGCAAAAGTGGCCAGCCAACCTGTTAGGTACGTTAATAGAAAATAGTGTTACTAAAGTTTACCTAAAAAAATTATAACTAACTAGCGCGTTTAAAAGAGAAGATTCTGCTAAACTTTTTATTCTACAAATCTAAATATAATAAGCAGAGTAAGCTCTGCTAATAATTTATGTATAATTAAGTTTACACACTTATTAAAGCTTTTAAAATGTTAATTTTATTATTCTAGTACTCTAGGCTAGTTTTATTTTATAGTGTTACCTCTAATATTCTTATGTCTTTTATAAGTTATTTATATAATAGAAATTATTCTTTTTTTATATTATTATATAAAGTTATTAATTACTAGTAGAATTTTATTATAGTAGTATAGTTAATTACTTTTATAGTAGATGTTGCATATAGCTATCTGTCTATATATATTCTTCTGCTGTGC